AACCACATTTCCACTTCTGAAATCATCTACAAGATCAGAATCTCATATCTATACTCTGAATAAGCCTGAACAAGCTATAACAAACTATTCATACAGCCTCAGATGTAATTACATGATATATCACATATTCAAACAGTCGTAGTGATAACTTTTAATCACAGCAGTTGCTCAAAATAACCGAATACCAATAATAAATCTCTTATCAAACAAATCCTCATTCCAATACTTTCGTATACTGCCAATGATAAATGAAACACGCAGTAAGTCATCACCATTCCTTAGATCAACCATTCATGAAGCCACTCCTCCTTTGGCAAGGACCCTAGAAAATTATTCTTCCAAATCTATTCTGATTATCCTGAAAACCAAAATTAACGATTTACATAAGTCATAATGCAACACACGGAGCTAGTCATGCCCGAGAACTAGCGAGCGAAATGCAAAAGCTCAAAACGACCAGTCGGGTCGTTACAACTTACCAAATACAATAGAAATTCCACAAATATACCATAATACTTGTGTAATAGTACGATCATATATACCAGAAAATTATTTTGTAGCATAATAAAAAATTTCTAAAATTATTTTAAGCTCTTTGATCTCATCCCAATCAAAATCAACAATTTGATCAGCGAGGATACCTTTACGCATATTAAATACCTTTTGTATAGGCACCCGATAATCATAAGTAACTTTAAGCATTTCATAAGTAGAATTTCACCTAGAAAAAAAATATTTTGGAACTTTTCTATATGGAAGATTAACACTAACACATTGTCGAGAAAATTCACGAAGTCTACTCGCTTTATTAGTACGAAAAATATAGCCGCAAGCAGGTTGTATTTTACTAGAAGCATCAAAAAATAAATTAATATCATCTTTTACAACCAAGTTAAAAATATGGCATGCACATCTAACATGAAAAATTGCTGGATTAATTGGACAAAGTCTAGTTTTAAGCTAGTTGTTGTGGTTGTGTTAGCAGAAGCATTATCTAAGGTGATAGTTAAAACTTTATCAATGAGTCCATAAAAATAAAGTATTTGTAGAATAGTAATTTCAATATATGCTCCAGTGTATTTTGAATCAACAAATTTATAACCAATAATACGTTTTTCAATGTTCTATTGATGATCAACCCAATGACATGTTACAGTTAAATAATCACAACCATTAGGACTGCGACCTATATCAGATGTGATAGAAACTTTACAATCTAACTGAAAAAATACACAATGAATATACTGAAGATATTCGGTTTGAAATTTAAAAACATCATTTCTAACCGTGGTCTTAGGAAAACCTTGAAAAGAAGGATTATAAGTTTCTTGTATATAATGCACAAAAGTAGGGTCAGAAGGAAAAGTAAAAGGTAAACCACAGATAGCCACCATTTTTACTAAGTTCTCACAATCTCTATCTTTGTTATAAGGGCATAAAATAGTACCCGAAGCATGGTCAAGCTGCTGTTGTAAAAAAATTAGAACCCCCGCCAGATCCACTATGAGTGCTAGTGCTGATGCTAGGATCCGGTAGAATTTTGGCTTCTATTTTAGCTTGTATCCATAAAGATTTGTAGTCCCTAATTAAGTGCCTACTTAACCCCCCNTCATGTTTAAAATTTTTCCATACAAGTGATGTTTTGGGACGTTCACCCTTATACTAACCCCTTACAGGAGGTACAGGGCGTAAAGCTCCAGACCGAGATTGACTCTGAGTTGGAGCTTGTGTTGCGGGACTAATGGGTATTTCATCTAATTCTTCTTCCTCATTTTCTTCATCCTCGTTTTCCTCGCCCTCAGTAAAAATATCATTGCCAAATTGTCTTTGTAAAGTTTCATGATCTAGTTGTTCTCTGAAATTAATATTATAACATGCGGGGGGTTGGAAAAATGAAGTTTCATCAACATGAGTCATTTCATCTATATGTTTTCTAATTCTAGGAGAAGGGTTAGAATTAGGACTATGATTAGGATTACTACTACTTTCACCTTTACTAGTATATTTTTTACTACTTTTTCTAAATAAGCCAAATACATTTTTAGGTTCCATAATTTAAATACGAAATTAAATTAAAAAAGTTAACACAAAAATTAAACACACAAATGAAATACAAAAATAGAATACGTAAAGTAAACACAAAAATTAAGCACTAAAATGATACGCAAAAGTTATATATTAAAATTAGGAGATGGAACGAGTGCACCGTGACTAAATATTAAAACTTGAAGAAATTGCCCAAAATATTGCTCCAAATACTTGACGAATTAATTTAAAGCTTGAAAGTTGCTCCAAAAATTTACCCAAATACTTGAAACTTATCACTTGATTGTGAGAAAATTGAGAGAATAATATAGATAGAATGTAAGAGATTTGAGAGAGAATGATTGATTTTTGTGGGGAAAAATGAAGAAGGATGGGGGTATTTATAGTTAAAAATAGGGCCAAAGTATAATTTAATAAACTTAGAGGTTATATTAAAAGTTTGGGAGGTCGGAGATATTTTGTTCGGGATGACCGTTTTTGGACGTTGAAAACGGCTATTTTTTCAATTGAAGTTGTTGCCCAACGACTATAATTAAAAAAAATTAAAAAGGATGCGGGACGAGATAAACGGGACGAAATGGCCATCCCGTCCTATTCCGTGTCCCATTTAACATAGGCCCATCCCGTTTAGAATTAATTGGGATGGGACGGTACGGGACGCGGGACGGGACCGGGACGGGTCAATATTAGTGATCATTGGATAGTGGTGGCTAGTAGTGGCTTACTCTTACAATTTTCAGGTAGTGCACTCATCTTGATCTATTCCTAAGGTATTAGCCTCTTCAAGGATAACATGCTCTAATACCACTTGATGTTTTATACTTCAATACCACACAAGAGGGGGTGATTTGTGTGGTGCCTGATTTTGCGTGCACTGGATTATCGAAGGACCTGGTTCTTCTATGCGTTCTTTACACTACAGTTGCGGAATAAATAATGCAAAAAGTAAAAAACACAAGGATTTTTACGTGAAAAACACCCGGCTCAAAAGGTGAAAAAATGACGACCTACTACCCAGTAGGAATTTCCCCAAACACTTCACTACAACTCTAAGCCAACAACAAAGTTTATAAACTTTTGCAAACCTAAGGATTACCTTTAACCCTTGTAGCAACCAGCCACAGGCTGTCACGACTGCTTCAAGTTAACTCTAACTTGAACAATACAACTAGAGTTTACAATCTCTTGCAAACCTATGGATTAACTCCAACCCTTATAGCAACATGCCACAGACTGTTGCGATTACTTCAAGTTAACTCTAACTTGAAAGATACAACTCAGGTACCTAGTACAATTTGCTTCTTAGAAAGCTAAAAGGTACAACTCAAAATGCCTACTACACTTTGAACAAGAAATAAAGAAGACACGTAAAACTCTTTATGGAGCTGGTTCTTCAATCTAGTTCGTGTAGCTTCAAGATCGCACTCTTAAATCTCACATGAATTGCTTACAAAATGCCTTGCTATTTTGCTCTCAATTCGTGCTTAACTTCAGTGTATGTGCATCGTCTGTAAAAGAGAACAAAACTGGTATTTATATAGTTAATAGAATAAGGATTAACTAGAAGTAATACTTTACTCTTCTATGGTGGAAGAATTCTAGTTATCTTTAACTTCTATCTCTTTCCTTATCTTGGATAGAGTTCTCTTCAAGTAAGGAGTCCTGCTCCTTATCAAATATGCAACCTTTTCGTTAAGGGATTATCATAAATAACCACTTATACTTATCTCTTTCACGTGCATGTCTTTTGCTTGATTCTACCCGTCACATGTGTACACTGTCCATGGACCTGGTTCATGCATGTGTATATTTGTCAATCATCAAAAAATCGCTCAAGTCAACAAAATGTTTCATATTTAGTTCACAACATAGATTCAAAAACGAGAAAAATATTATGATATTAGAAAGAATAAAAAGTAAAAAAAAAATACATAAAAATTAAAAATTTAGAGGATAAAATAGATAATTAGGAAGTTCAATTGAGAAAGGAGGATGAGAATGTCTATTGTCAAAGTTGGAGGAGGACTTTGATTTTTAGAGTAAAGTTCAGGGATGTAATATCTACCCAGTAATAAGGGCTTGAGAGGGCTGGCTGCAATTAACCTGATGGTCCAGAGGCGGATCCAGGATTTGAGGCTTATAGGTTCCTATCGTAATTTCAGACTAATATGCAATAATAACTGGGTTCATAGTCAGATATTTGCCAATATTTAGCGAATTTCTTAATATAAATATAGAGTCTACGCAAGAGTTACTGGGTTCCCGTAAACCCGTAATCCATGCACTAGGTCCGCCCCTGGATGGGTCCTCTTATTACGAGCTTCATCAGATTGAGCATACGGTAAAAGTTATACTAGACGAAATACATAGTCGAATACGAATCATCACACTTATAATTGAGCTCATGTTTATGGGATATTATCAAACCTAGAACGTTTAATACATAAATAAATATTCATAAAGCGTATTTTGTTAAATTCAGTTTTAGAAGTTCTTTATATTGTTAATTAGTATATATAATTAGTTGAATTTAAAAACAAAAAGTTGTGACATTCAATATCTAGACAATTTCCTGTGGCCTTTACCTTGCTTTTAGTGATTTTGAACTTTCAAACTTCTTCCCAATCGCCTATATCTCTAGTCATCAACCGCGAAAGTGCATTGAATTATGATGTACACTAGTCCAATTTGCACCAAACATGATACAATCAGTTTTGGTTACAATCACGTACTCTCTATATTTAAGTAGAAAAAAACTTGAAGTGGTTTGCTTTTCTTTTTATCCTCCTTATCCTAATGCCTCACGTCTATACTCAATCCTATTAAATATCCTTAACTATATTTTCCGTCGAATAATTCTTTCCTCCACTGTAACAAAAATGTTACTACTTCTATACATAGATTATACTTGTCTACTTGACTACTTTTAGATTATAAAATATGCAACTATTTGCGAAGACTTGAACCCAACGTATATACCAAATATTCTATATACTACCAAACTTTCCGCTCTCTATGTATAAAACCAAATGTAAAAACTCTTGGCAATTACTTATTCCATTCTTCCATTGAAAATCCGTTATCCTCTTTCGCCATCTCCAAAGTTAGCAAGGAAAATCTGCATAAGTTTTCATCGATATATGAAAACATCCATTCTTTTGCAAAGTTCAACAAGTATAAACCACGCCTGCTGGTCCCGTTATAGGTATTATAGTATCTCTTTATACCCTATTTTTAGCTTTAAAATCTTGAAAAATAAGGATGTAAGCAGCTTTGGAGATCAGTATAATAATAGCTTGTCATTTCTCGGATCAAGAAAAGGACTTTTAACTAGTGACAAAATTAAGAGGTAAACATCTTGGTTTTTGTTGGAACTGGTGATTAATATTTGTGAACATATTTCTTTTAGATAACATGATCTACTTTACGTCCTCTTTTCTTCTTCATTTTCGATATAGGAAGTTTGTGGTGAGCAGCAATGGTCAACCAGGAGGTCCCTTTCCTTCTCCACCCTCTTCAAATCCCTTGTAAGTTATTCGTCATTTATCGACGAATTTATCATTACTTAGAGTCAATCCGTTCAAAATGAATGTAATATTGTACGTACGATCAACATTTTAATTTGTTTTACAGATGCATACATAGTTTGATTTGGAAATTTGAACTCATAAAACCTGACCTAAATCCGTCTCTTCATTGATCAGATCCTCTACAAAATTAATAAAAAAGAATGTATACATTCAACTGCTCTAGTTTTGTGCTTCTAATAATCACTATATATACTTTTTTTCTGAGCATTGTTGCAGTAATGGCTGGCTTATAGGAATTCTGCTATCAATAATTTTACCCTTCTTCCGCAATAAATGGGGGTCATTATTGCAACTTAAAAGTAAGATTTCCTTGAAATTCAAGATTAATTGAGAAGATAGAAATTAATTAAGGGGCCTTAGTTTCACGTATATTAAAAGGTTTAATTTGCCAATTATACAGATAAAGTGGAAGATGTAATAGAAACAGTAGAAGAAGTAGTAGAGGAGGTGGAGAATGTGGCTGAGGAAGTAGACAAAGTGGCTGAAGAAATTGGGAAAGATTTGCCAGAAGGCCTACTCAAAGATACTCTCAAAGCTGTGGAAAATTTCTCAGAAGAAACAGCCAAGTTTGCTCATGCAGCTGGAGATATTATTGATAAGGTTTATCTAATTAACTCACTTTATAGTTTATTTCTTAGTTAATTAAACACCTTCATTCCCAACTAGTACGTAATTTATTATTCTTATTGGTTTACTTTGAGCTTTCAAGTTTGGTTACTTGTTCAAATTAAAATGGGATTCTTTAAAATCTGGCAACTGACTTGACTATACATTAAAAAAATACTCCACGTACTTTGAAAATTTGCCTCAAATACAATAATAACTCAGTCATAAAATTAATATTGTTGACTTTAAAGAATTGAAAGAGATACTAATCATTCTGCAAAGTCGGATTGATATATTTATTTTTTTTAATTTTCCTTAATCTCTTTTCCTCCAAAAAATCAAACTTATACAGCCTTTGCAGTCTGATACAATACAAGCTTTAATGTTCATATATAATTGTTAGCTTCATCTTCGCGATAAAATTGTGCATCAAGTATGACTTGCAAAAGATTATTATACTAAATTTTCTTGTGCCTTATTGATGTAGAAGCCTAACATTCTCTTTTCCTTGTCCAGCAAGTGATAAGGATAAAACCAAGAAAATTTGCTTTCTTTTTTGAATTTACTGTTCTAACCCTAGCTGCTTCACAAAAATTTATCCTTTATCAAAAAAAAAGTTAATTTCGTCCATGAGAGGATTTAAATTATATACACATACACTGTAAAGAAATTTTACACTATCACTATATCTTAACCTCTTATGGGAGTTTATTACTCAGTTTTTCGGATTGGTGCAAAATGCAAATAATAAAAAAGTTTTTTCTTAAGGTTTTTTCTATATAAGATTAATCAAACTTATACAAGCTATCGTAGTCTGACCAGACATTGCTTTAACAAAATTCATAATTTTGTTAGTCTCGTCTTCGCATTCAACAAATGGCAATTGTTTATCAACTATGACTTTGATATCAACTATGACTTGTTCCTTACTATAGAAGAGTAACGCAACATCCTCTCCAGCTTGTCCAACAAGAGACGAGGAAATAACCAAGAAAATATGTTTTCTTTTTAAAAATTCATTTTTAACGCTACTTTCGTTAATAAAATCCCAAATAAAATAAAGTCAATTTCGTGTACAGGAGGAAGAATACAGTATAATACATTTTATTTAGGTAAAATATCTTAAACCACTCCTAAACTTGGATCAGATTATTAGTATCCTCCCCGAACTATGCCCGGTCTTAATTACCCCCCTCAACTTGGCCTTTTGAGGACCATTACCCCGCTAGACGCTAATATAGCAAAAAATATGGGTGCACTCGCCTGCCACGTGGATTTTTCTGTCAATGTGGCATTTTTTTGAAAAATATTTTTTTTTTACCTTTTTAAGAATATTAATTTTTTAGATAATTTTTTTCGAATAAAATTTATAATAAAACTTGGATATAACTACATTATTTAGGCTAAATATTTTTATTTGGCCAAAAATAATAAAGTTTTAGTTAATCTTTTTTTGAATTTGACCTGAAAATAAAGATTTATAAAATTGAAATAAATAGTCAAGGCATCTAAAAAGTTATAAAAAAATATAGTTGAAATAAATAGTCACTGCATAAAAAGAAGAAATAAAAAGAGTGTACAATTGCCCTTGTAATTTCTTGCAATTGTACACTCTTTTTATTTCTTCTTTTGATGCAATGACTATTTATTTCAACTGTGTTTTTTTACTTTTTTAGGTAAAACCTGTAAAAAAGAATATTTAGAGCACCGTAATTTAGAGCTATATAAATGTCACGACCCAGATTTTCCCACCCTCAGGAGTCGTGATGGCGCCTACTCGTAGAAGCTAGGCAAGCCAGGAAAATTTAGAAATCTTTAACTACTTTATTTTAAGCCTTTTTAACAACTTGCTTTAACAGGTGATAAACATTTAAATGATAGCGGAAGATGAAATTAAACAGAAGACTTAAATGAATATAATACTAAAATCGATAAGAATAGCCAACATATGTCTCTACCCAGAAGCCGGTGTCATAACATTCACGGACCGTCTATGACTACTACATACAAATGTCTGAAGGAAAGAAACACAGTCTGTCTCGGATACGAGTGATAACAGAACATGATAATAGATAGAAGAGACGTCGGGCCTGCGGATGCCTGCAGGACTACCTCGGAATCTCTGTGGACTGAAGGCTGGCTCCCAAGCTACTGATCGAATGTTGCTCCGGTATCTGCACAGAATGCAAAGTGTAGCATCAGCACAACCGACCCCATGTGCTAGTAAGTGTCTGGTCTAACCCCGGCAAGGTAGTAACGAGGCTAGGACCAGACTCCTGATAAACATGTGCAGTTATATAATATATGGCGGAAAAATAAACAGGAATAAGCAATTTAAAATGGGAGGGGATACATACTTCGGGGAAACATATCAAGACCAATAGAAACTTAATAAAATATGAAAGGACAGCTCAATATCTACAACAATACAATAACAATACTGTTGTGGCGCACAACCCGATCCCTTATCATTTAACATTGTTGCGGTGTGCAACCCGATCCAATATAATATCTGTTGCGGCGTGCAACCCGATCCAATATAATATAATATCTGTCGCGGCTGCAACCCGATCCAATATAATATCTGTTGTGGCGTGCAACCCGATCCAATATAATATCTGTTGCGGCGTGCAACCCGATCCAATATAATATAATATCTGTCGCGGCTGCAACCCGATCCAATATAATATCTGTTGTGGCGTGCAACCCGATCCAATATAATATCTGTTGCGGCGTGCAACCTGTTCCAACTATACAGTCACAATAATCATAATTAACCGTCCCGGCAAGGGATCAACAATATACTACACTATCTCGGCAAGGGAACTCAACAGTACAAGCATATACGTCTCGGAAAGAGAGAATCAGCTATAACCAATCTCAACTCAACTCCTACTCGTCTCAATTACCACCATTTCTCAATCATAAGTAGATTCCACGATAAACAAATTAAGTATTTGCTCAATATCAAGGATTTACTCACTATTTCAACCGTAGTAACATTCAAGAATACAACAAGTATCAATTTAAGACGCACGGTCATGCTTGACACCAACGTATAGATACTCGTCACCATGCCTATACGTCGTACTCAACAAGAAGCAAATAGCAAATAGGACTCAACTCTTAATCCCTCAAACTAAGGTTAGACCGAACATTTACATCGATGCCTCGAACACAACTCAAGTTTCAACTATAGCTTTACCCCTTGATTCCACAGCCAATTCGCTCGTATCTAGCCACAAGTTACTTAATTACATCAATAAACGCTAAATGAATCAATTTGAATTCATGAAAATGAGTTTTCCAAAATTTTACCCAAAAGGTCATAATCGTCCCCGGGCCCACGTGGTCAAAACCAGAGGTTCAAACCAGAACCCGATCACCCATTCCCTCACGAACTCAAATATATAATTTATTTTAAAATCAGACCTCAAATCGAGGTCCAAATCCCCAATTTGAAAAACCTAGGTTCTACCCAAAACACCTAATTTCCCCTATGAAAATCATTTATTTGAAGTTGAAATCATGTTAAAAGATGTTAATGATTGAAGACAACTATTTAAAATGACTTACAATTGATTTAGAGAAGAAAGGTTGTTTGAAAAATCGCCTCTTATGTTTTTGGGGTTTTGAAAAATGAAAAATGACTGAAAATCCCGTCTATTTATACCCCTCTCAGACCCCCTGTGCGGACCGCACAAAATGGACTGCGGTCGCACCGGCCTTCCTGAGGTTACTACGGTCCAGTGCCCTATGCGGACCGCACAAAGTCGACCGCCGCCATACAGCAGTGCCCTGTGCGAACCGAAACTCACCCGAGCTCTCGGAACTCCAAACCAAGTGTGCATACTAACTCGAAAACATCATATGGACCTACTTGTGTGATCACATGATGAAAATAACATGTAAAATCATGAATTAAACCTCAAAACTTAACATTTTCATCAAGAACTCTCAAAGTCCATAACTCCTCAACCGGAAGTCCAATTCACATCAAATAAACTCCGTTTTTTACCAAAATTCACGAAAACGTCTTAAATCATATATAAGACCTGTACCGGTCGCTGGAACCAAAATACGGGCCCGATATCATCATGTTCTAAGCAAATTTCATTTCAATTTTCCTTAAACAGTTATAGAAAACAATTTCTTTTAAAAAATTCTTTTCTCGGGCTTGGGACCTCAGAATTCGATTCCAAGCATATGTCCAAGTCCCATATTTTCCTACGGGACCGTCTAATCACGGGTCCGGATCCGTTTCCCCAAAATATTGACCGAAGTTAAATTAGTTCATTTTATAATCAAAACTTATCATTTTTCACAGATTATCATAGTTAAGCTTTCCAGCTATGCGCCCAGACTATGCACGCAATTCGAGGTGACTCTAAATGAGGTTTTTAAGGCCTCAGAACACAGAATTTAATAGGGATAACGGCTAAAACAACTGTTCGTCCTCTAACGGACAGAAGAAGTAAGTACTTGAGTCGGGGAAAAGATGGGAATAACGGCTCCGCATATCAGACACGGACTCCCAGATCGATGCCTCAGGAGGCTGACCTCTCCACTAAACATGAACAGAAGGAAAACTCTTCGTCCTCAACTGACGAATCTGCCGGTCTAGAATGGTTGTCGGCTCTTCCTCATAAGACAAGTCCTTGTCCAACTGGACAGTGCTGAAATCTAACACGTGGGATGGATCGCCGTGATACTTCCGAACCATGGACACATGAAACACTGGATGCACGGCTGATAAGCTAGGTGGCAATGCAAGTCTATAAGACACCTCTCCCACTCGATTAAGAATCTCAAACAGACCAATGAACCTTCCCAAATCTCATCACGCCCTTCATAGGCGACACTCGGAGAAATACCCGCTCACCGACCATAAAAGCCACATCTCGAACCTTGCAGTCTGCATAACTCTTTTCCCTGTACTGAGCTGTACGAAGCCTATCCTGAATAATCCTGACCTTATCCAAGGCCTCCTGAACCAGATCCGTACCCAACAGCCGAGCCTCTCCCAGCTCAAACCATCCAAGCGGAGATCGACACCGCCTACCATATAAAGCCTCATAAGGAGCCATC